CGAAGCAGGCGATGCGCAGCGTGCCGTAGAGCACCTTGAGCAGCCCGTTCATGCCCGGGTGGTCGTGGAGCGGGATGCAGGCGCCGGCGCGCAGCACGAAGACGCCCATGCTGAAGCTCTCCGTCTCGCAGATGTGCATGTAGCTCACGGGCGGCTGCACCGGTCCCGGCACCGCCGACGGACCCCGCGGGACCAGGCGCAGGTCCTCGGCCCGCACCTCGTTCAGCAGCTGCTGCAGGCGCTGCAGGTTCTCCACGAAGCGCGGCCCGCCGTTGCCTCCGGCTCCGCTGCCGCCGCCGCCTCCGGCGCTGCTGTTGTTATTCGCACCCGGAGGGCGGAACGTGACGCGGGCCTGCCGGGCCACCCGTTGAATCAGGGAGGCCATGTTGTCCCGGGGCATCGTGCCGCCGCCGCCGCCGCCTCCCAGCCGAAGAGGATGCGGGCTTCTGCGCAGGCGCCGCCTGGCCGCCTGCCCTCCCCTCTTCCGCCCCTCTCCCCTCCCGGGTATCCGTTGCATTGTGGGGCTTGTAGTGCCCTTTCCACTCCTCCAGCGCGCTCTGTTGGCCTTGTGTGTTCTCGGTTACACCACCGCCGGCAGCGCAAAGACGCCGTGAACAGCATGACTGAAGCTGTCAAGTCGCAGCTGCTTGGCGAGGGAGAATTTTCGCGGTTCTGCAGGTAGGACCGCCCACTTTCCGGCTAGAAAACTACAAGTCCCATGAGGCTGGAGGCTCTCTCGCGGTCCAAGAGTATTTGCGTGCAGAGGTGATTGGTCTCTCGGTCTTCTGCCTCTCGAAGGCGAACGACAGACGCAGCTTTGCACGGAGGGGATGCCGGACAGTTTTGCAAGACAAATACTTCCCAGTGGAAAACATGATGATGAAGAAGCCCTTCTCGTTAAACTCTCGTCAAAATCTTCTATTGCACAATATTACATGTAATTAATAATGACAGTTACGTGCTGTTCATTCTGACCCCTGGCAACCGTCCCAGAGTTTTCTAGGGATAAAATACACAGACACGGTTGACCAGTTCCTTCTGGCGGCGCTTTGAAAACTGCAATTTTCCCAAGGCCACCTACCTGGGTGGCGGAGCCCCGATGAGCCCGCAGGATCCTGCTGCCATCCGCTCTTCCTTTGCTAGGAAAACTCCACCAGAGCCTTCATTTCACAGCCAGACACTCCACCTCCTTCAGCTAATCTGGTGATTGTTACAGCATGATAGAGTTAGGCATTCTAATGCAATGGGAAATCTCATACACATTGCTTATGCACTAGAACTGCATTACAGTATTTTATCTCCTGCAGTCACATTTTGCTGTCTGGATAGCTCAGTGGTTTACACATCTGGCTGTGGAACTGAAGGCTGGGAGTTTTAATTCCTCCAGAAGAACCAGCTTGTTTGGACAAGTTACACAGTCCAGAATGCCCTCAGAAGAAGGAAATGGTAAACAATTTATCACTATTCTCTACCTGGAAAACCCCAAAAAGGGTTACCATAAATTCAAATTGACTTGACAGCATGAACAATTACTCACATTTTGTTGTAGAATCCATACCGAGCAAGAACGACAAGCTCTTGACATTCTATACTATTGCCACCTGAAAAATTGTAACTAGTATCCCTAAGTTTTCATTTTAATTGGACAAAATATGATTCATCCCAGCATATCCCCAGTTCCCTTGACACTAGGTGTGAGGAAATTGATTCACCAGATATTTTGACCTACATGTGCCCTGACACATCCAAGGGGTGGTGGAAGTTGTATTCTGAAAAATCTGGAGGCCAAAGTACCGCAGCTGTGAACTACTACACCCATGCTAGCTGTTAATTTCTTCACCTACTTCCTTTCTCAGTTATATCAGATTCCTGAAGAGTCCATCTTTTCAAGCCCAGCTCACACTACTATTGCAAACATTTTTTTAATTGGTGTTTCTGAATGCTGGGAGTATCAGTTTAATCTGTATTCCTGTATTTTTTTAAAAAAACCACTATTGATTCTATTTATGGATTAATGCAGTAAAAGACATGAATTTTCTCCAGTGCTCCCTCGCTTCCTTTTTCTGTAGTTATACATTGCAGGTGGGAAAAACATGACCATGAAATTAGCATCTCTGATACAAAGATTGAGAATAAATGAAGATGTCTCCTTTCCTAGAAACCCATGAAAATTCAGCATTTTTTTTCCTGTAAAAGACAGAACCCCCCCCCCCAAACTCCTACTTTTTATTCCACGAAAAGCCCAAGTACAAATTACACTGGAAGCACAATTGGATTTAAGATGGGTGTTTAGGTGTTTTCTTTCCTTTTTAAAAAACATACACCTTGCAGCAGGAGAGAGAGGGGGGAGTAGATCAGCATTAGGACACTCCAGCTGGGGATTGGGGTGAGAGGGAGGGAAGGTTGTCCATTTGGAAGGCTCTTGTGACCGCCACTTGCCACATAAGTAGAAATGTGGTCTTTACCCACAGCAGCTTCCTCCTTGCAACAAATAACAAGCGTAGGAAGGATTTCGTCAGGAGCATGGTGTGGAGGGAAGGGGTTAACTCCACCCTCCCCATGCATCATTGCCCTTCTGATACTAGTCTGGGAGCACCATGTCTACTATTTAGGAACAGAAGCCAATAGGATAAATATGATCATTTATTTACTGTGAGATTAATGTTTGTTGACCACACAAACTGACTGTGTGTTTTCCTTGTTTGAAATACTTTTATGTACCCTTTTCCTGCCCCTCCTGGGCAAATACCAGAAGTGGATCAAAATAAGAATTGCTCATAAAATCATGTGAAACAATTTCAACAGCAGAGGCCATATGAATGCATTGCTTAGGAAATCTCAAATGTGTTGCCCGAGTGGAGCTTCTACATGCACAAAATCCATTTTGTAACAAAGAGACTAGTTAAGTTACACTAACAGTGAAAACTCACTCTGGCTTTGTTATTTCCAGGCCTATCCCACTACAGTTACCATGCTGGACTCTATGTTGGGCCTTCAGCCACATGATGGAAGGTATAAACATAAAGGATAATATTCTGGTCCCTCGCTGGACTCTCCCTGATGACACAGAGGGAGCATGAGGCATTGCTATGGCAATGCTGTCAGATTAATCAAACATGACCCTGAGGGCATTTCTTCAGAAAGGAAATTTAGTCTGAAGAATTAATGAGAGAGCAAGAGAAACTGGCCAAACATTTGCATTTTATCTAGCTCTGCAACAGTGGTCCCCAAACCTGGGGTCTCAGATGTTTTTTGAGGATGATTTCCAGAATTAGCATAGTCAATGGTCATGGTTTCTGGGAGTCATAGTGTGACAATATCTGGGAACAAGTTTAGGAACCATTGTTCAGAGTGACAATTAAAGAAGAAGCATTGCTGATAATTAAATAAACCGTCACGCTTAGTAATTGCAAAGACAATTGGGTTTGAAATAATGAAGTAGCACACTCCCTTGCTTCATTCAGGTGCAGGATTTGGTTCATTATCATTGTCTTCAGCTTCTTTGCCCTCAAATCAACCTATGTTTTCTTTCTTTTGTTGGGTTGTGTCATTTAGACGTGAGCTAGGGGTCCTTGGTTGTTGCCCAGGGGTTTGCTTTGCTTCTCACACACAAGACCAGGAGGTTTACATCTGGTTTGGCTGGGGTTGCAGGGGGCCCCCTTGAACATAGAAATGGAGAAACACATCCCTCTGCTACCACCTTCCCCCATTCCAGCAAGAGGAAGGGAGAGATTATCTCCTGGCACACTGAAAACTAGAATTTGCTGAGGAGACATGAGGAGGTGAAGACTGTTGTGCATGTGTTCACACACACCAGCAATTTGACAGCTTCCTCCCCACTCCGTGTTTTTGCTGCTAAGATTGCTGTTTCATTGCTGCAGCGATGGGGACTTGAGTCACGAGACTCACGGTCAAGTCAGTGACTTTAAGTCAGACTGGAAATGACCTGGACTCGACTCACAACTTGGAACCCACCCACCCCTCCCCTTTTTTCCGGGGAATAAAGTTTGTTTTTAATAGAGAATCGGACTTGGAGCTTGGAACTCAAGATTTGGCACCAAAGATGCAGACGCAGACTTGGGACCAAGACTCAGATTTAGGTTCCGGACGCAAAGACTTGACAACATCCCCACATTTTTGTTAAGGAGCCAGTGTGGTGTAGCACAGCGGTCCCAAAACTTTTTAGCCCCACCGACTGGCTTGGAAAGGCAGGGCACCCCGCTGTGCTTGTGCGCATGTGCGAAGCAGCATGCGTGCTCTTGTGCAGGTGCTCACTCGTGCACATGTGCAAAGGGTGGCGCAGCACTCATGCAGGTGCGGGCGTGCTTGCGCGCAGGCACAAACCGGCTGTGCAGGGGGGGAGTGCATGTGGGAGTGGGGGGGAGGTCTCTCTCTGCGGCCCGGAGCAGCGGGGGGGGGCACAGACCGGGGGTTGGGGATCTCTGGTGTAGCAGGCAGAGTGACTGACTGAGACCCAGGTTCGAATCCTTGCCCAACCATTGGAACTTACTGAACGGTGGCAATGGTAAATCGCACCTAGAACTTCCCATATATCTTGAAAATCCTGTTAAGGTTCTCGTAATTCAAAAGCAGCTTAACAGCAGATCTCAACAACTGTAGTGGCAGAGGAGAATTTATCAACTTGGTGGCAGGATCACAGTGGGGAGAGGCTTCTGCCTTTTCTAGGCTCCTGCCATCTTACTTGAGCTTGCTCTCCCCATGCTCCTAAGAGCAATGCCAGAACAGCATCCTCCAATCTGCTAAGCACTGCACAGAAAGGGCTCAGGACTACAGCAGGGGTCCAGGGGTTGTACACCCTCTCTTTGACAATGGATTTTCAAAATGTGGAACAAAATAGCAAGTTCTCAAAAGGCGGCACAATTTTACCCTCCTCCAGTACTGACCAAGCAGTGCTAGACAGTCTATATAGCACATCTGTGTAGTTCTACAAGTAATAGCATGCTCATATATCCCACGCACACACCGAAACTGAATGGATTATTTTCTGTATCAGAGGCCTGGTCAGGAACCGATTTTACTGGAAGTTAAGTTTGAGGAGGTGATGATGGAAAGCAGTGTATCAGGGTTCTGCCTGTATATGTAGTGGCTACTCTCTGTAGGTGCACAAGTGCACCTGCCTCTTGAATTGATAGTTCAGTGGGCTAAATTTGGCTCAGCGATCACTAGTTACTGACCCTTCTTCAGTTGGAAAGGATGTATAACTAGTGGTCTACATGAACCTGCTAAGTGCCTTTTCAGTTATGGCATTTCTCTTCTGGTTCTCCGTTATCAGAGTCTTATCTCATACTGTCTTTATTTTCAGCAAAACCGAAAACCTCCTTAACCAGGCAATTTTATTTTCTAGTCTGGTTTTATGTTGCTTTGTGTTAGTTACTGTTTGTTGGATTTTTATGCTTTTGCTCTCAGGATTTTATTATTCTGTTCTGAGACCCATGGTGGAAGTGTAGCTAGTAAGTGCTTTACATAAGCACATTTTGGAGAGGAAGGCAAGAGGTGGATTTCCTTGTTACTGCTGGATCAACTCTGAGTCAAACCTCATGGACACCCAGCTTCCATTAAGGGGCAGATAGCACGTTTGTCCTCCAGCAACAGGAGGACAATTTGCAGGCATACTTGCTTTTATTCAAAATGGTTCCTCATTATTCTCCAAAGTGGTAAAAACAAGGTATTGTTGACAGCCACAGAGATTGGGGACGTAGGTTGCAGGTAATTTTGTACACTAAATCATCTTCAATTTAGCATTGATAGTGTAACCACAGAGAAACTGTAAGCATTTATTTGCATGTTAAAAAAAGAAAATTGAGGATTTGGCATGATATAAGTTTGAATTTATACAGAAAGTTTTGTGATTTTCACTTACTGGTGCATATTCTGTTTCCTTAGGGCAGCCTAAGCTAGACTATAAATCAAATCAGATCAGTAAGAGCAAAGCCATGGATTTGCATCAGCTACAGCAGAGAGGGAAAGTATGTTGATCTCCCTCTGTTGGCGGATTACATCTTCCTTCATCCATCCCACTGACTGTGGTTTCTGTGGTTGATTGGAGGCGTAGCTCTCTTAACAGCTACAAGCCAACACAGTCCACACTCTTGACTTAGCATTTAAAGCACAAGATGCTAACTTGCAAAGGACACAGGATTGAGCTTTATAATAGGGTGGGGAGGGATGAATGCTTGTTTTTGTGCTCAGATATTTTTATCAGCTATTTCATATCTCCCAGCTTTTTTCTTTATGGCCAAAGACAGAGAGAGGAAGTTAGAACAAATGTTTCATTGGCGTGCTTAGAAAACATGCTGCTGGTTACAACTTTCATGCTACTCTTGAGTTGAAGTGGTAGATTAAACAAAAATACACTCTTTATAAATGTAAAAAAGGGTGTGTAAAAGGATTATACTTGCATTTCCAGCAATATCAGGATCTTACTGATCACTTGGT